TCTGGCCAACACCAGTAGGCGGTAGGTGAAGTGTCTTGCCCAAGGACACAACGACCGAGACCGGCAACCTTCCGATTACAAGGTGAACTCCCAACTTGAGCCATGATCGCCCGATGGATCTACCATCCAACCCTCACCTATGGTCACAAACTCTGGGCAGTGATTAAAAGAAATGAGTTTTCTCTGAAGGGTGGCAGGTCTCTCCCTTAGAGAGAGAGGTAGGTAGGTGGTTCAGGAATCTGACTAGGATGGCTTCTGGGAACCTTTTGGCTGAAGTTTTTCCGGAATTTCCCACCGGAATGATGCCCTAGGACACACCCAGGACATGCTTGGGAGATTACATCTCTCAGCTGGCCTGGAAATGCAGCAGTATTCCTCCAGATAAGCTGGAGGGGGTAGTTGGGAAGAAGGAGGTTCTGGGTGTCCTTGCTTAGGCTGCTTCTCCTGAAGCTGAAGAATTAATAAAAATATAGATAAATACAATCCTGGTACTGGAGGATTCTTCTTGCACAAGAGAGAAAGAAGGAAAGTAACTGTGTAAGTAACTTTTTCTCCAAACAGAACATTGATTAAAAATCAGCAAAGCAGAATAAAACTTTGCACTAAGGTTAAAAAAAGAAAACAGTTTCAGTATCCATGCCCTCCATGCTCCCAACTTTGAAGCCATACTACAGCTTCATACTCCTGTATGCTACAGCTGCAGCAGTTCTTTAGGCAAAATACTAAAGCCAATCAGTCAGTGATGATACTTTACGTCAATACATCTGGCGAGCAGAGCACCAACAAATTAAATTCCTCAACTAAGCTGCGTATGACATTTTACCAGCCCATCACATCTCCAGCTGTACGGCAAGTCTGTGTAGGAATTTCATTTCTTAATGAGAAACCAAAAGCACAGAACAGAGCAAAGTCTTCACTTCACACAACTGGGAACCAGTGCTCAGTCTGGGCAAGCAAGTCATGTTTCTGTAACACATCACAGATGACACATACTGTCATTCTTTCAGAGCCGTAAAAACAACCTGCCCTGACTGTGCACTGGTAGGATCACATGGAGGAGGGTTTTGAAAGCAAGCTGGCCAAGTTTTAAGGACTTGTTTCGGGAGGACTGCCAGAAAAAGGTGGCGAGCACAATGTCATCTTCCTGTTAAATGGTAAATGGACTGATTCTTATATAGCGCTTTTCTACTCTCACGGAGTACTCAAAGCGCTCTATACAACATGCCTCACTCACCCAATCACACCCATTCTCACAAGCACTTTATCTACACTTAGTGCTTTCTAACGACATTTATACACATTCATACTCCGATGGACGCATCGAAGAGCAAGTTGGGGTTAGTATCTTGCCCATGCAGGAGCATGCCCATGGAGGAGCCAGGGATCGAACCACTGACCTTCCGATCAGTAGGTGACCTGCTCTACCTCCTGAGCTACAGCCACTCGGCTGTTGAAGTAGGCTGAGTCCTCACCCTGCCAGGCGTGAAGGGACCACACAGAAACACAGCCATCAGGACTGCAAAAGAAGCAGCTGATGGAGCCTCCGGGTGGATTACGTGGGGAAATCTGGGGCTTAATGTCAGGACCTGATCAATCCCTGGCTGGGTCGCCAAACCGAATCACCCAAGGAATCTAGGAAAGATCACTGATGATGCTCACCAGCACAACCAGCATCTTTCATCTACATATGCACAACAGTGTATTGACACTGTTCAGCTGGCTAACATCCTTACCAAGGCAACAGAAACAAGCTGATGCATGCTGAAAGTTAAAGTTTGTCACATTTGTCTTCAAAAGCCAGAGGACTTTGAGTGTCTGGACAAATTTTCATGGAAATTCATCAAAATATTCTTGAGAATTATATATATATATTTTTTTTTAAAAAATCAGAAAATTATTTTATAGATTGAGTAACTGTAAAGTTTCCCCTTACCCTTGCTCTTCTGCAGGGAGATCTTGGTAATTACGCTGAAGTTTCCTCTTTCAGGCAAACAGTTGGACATGTTGAGGTAGAAGCTCTCAGAGACCGTGAGCTCGCTATTGGCCACCTCATCCTCCCTGCGGCTGTAGTCCTCCTTGGTGCTGCCCATTCTTTGCACCCGGATGTTGGTGTGGCGGTTGATGCACTTGGGCTGGCTGAGCTTGGTAAAAATCAGCTGCGCCTCCATCTTCGGAGGAACTGAGACAATCCAGGAGACGGTGGAGTGGGCCTTCATTCCCGCTGGCCAAGCTGGAGTAGCCACAAGTTCTGGGGTGTCTCTCTTTGGAGAAACGGTGAATATGTATCTTTCTGAAGGTTATTGCAAAAAGAAAACAATGTGAAATATTAATGGTTATTTAATGTTCTTATTTCATTCAGCTTATCCCCTTCAAGTGTGCTTGTTTTTACCTGTAATCTCTTTTTCAAAACTGGCATTCAACACAGCCGATCTTGGTGCTTTAGCATTCATGCTGGACCACCATGTGACAGACACACTTGTGTGAATGTGGACGGTCTGTATGGCTCCGTTGGGGCAGAAGGTCCCAATAGTTGTTCCATTCTCTTCTGCCACGTCAATAGTGATGCTGTCATCACATAGCTGTCCAGGTAGGGACTGCTTGAGGGGCCCGTTGGGAGAAATCAGCTTTACCGTGCCGTGCTGACCGGGACGCAGTGTCCACGTCACACGGCTCAGAGGTGCAGGGAGGCATGATGGCAGCAGAGGCACCGACAGACTGACTGGATCAGGACATTTACCAGAACTACAATCTGAACGGAAAGAGGTTCTCAAATGAAACTGATAAAGTACTTTACAGTACAATGAGAAGCACTTTTAGTAGAAGGCAGTACAGATGTTTTTAAACACATGGTCTGAACTAACTTTAATAAACCTGTAAGCACATGTGAGTAGTAATGTATTTGCCAACAGCTGTAACTTCTCCTTTGAGCACCCAAATTAGGAGGTGTGTATATAAACTGAAAAATAAAATAAAATATAATAAAATAACAGATCTAAAACAGCAGTGAATATTTATCCTTAAATTACACTATATTACAATGCATTTTAAACGCCTTCATTAGTATTATTATTATTATTCCGTCTTAAAATCAAACTTTTGAATATTTTCAGCTGAACCAACTCTGATTTGCCTGAAAATTATATGAATTAAAAGTAAATAATGAACTTAGCCTTGGTATAAGAAATACTTTATATTTATTTATTTATTTTAAAAAGATCCCACCCTCCACTTTCCAGAATTATGATAAGAAAAACCAGTAAAAATTTCTTTTGAGATATTCAAATATTGCCTCCGATTTTAAAATGAGAAACACGCTGGAAGTCAACAGACCATTTCTCAAAAATCATATTTTTAAATTCCATCCATCCATTCGCTTCCGCTTATCCTTTTCAGGGTCGCGGGGGGCGCTGGAGCCTATCCCAGCTGTCATAGGG